AATGAAAGTAATGAGGATTAATGCCCCACAAAAGGGCACTAATATAGCACATCGAGACGGTTTTGATCCTGGGGCCTCACAGTTACGAGGCCATTGCTTTGTCACTGAACCATGAATGTACGCAGCGGGGGCTAGGGTAAGGGGCAGTTTCCATAAATAAAATAAAAAACAGAAAATGCAATACATTTGCAAAAATGTATTGCATTTTACCCCGGTTCCCAACATTAAAAAAATCCTTTGTGTGCCCATGCCCTGAACCATAATACATGGCCGTCCAGAGGATTTTTTAAAGTTGGGAACCGGGGTAAAATGCAATATTTTTTTTATTTATGGAAACTGCCCCCTACCCTAGCCCCCGCTTCGTACATTCATATTGTCTGTAAAAGTAAAGCATTAGTTGTATGGGTTGCACTCGAATCGTATCATTATCCATAGAGATCCACCATGTCCCAAATCTTTTTTTACTTCGAACTTTCCTCAACCCCTTCCTCCCCTTCCTCTAACTCTTCCTCTGTATTTTCCAAATCTCATCATATTCCTCTCCTAGTTTTCTTCTTCCTTTTGTGTTTCTATCAACCCTCTTCTACCTCTCTGTCTCTCCTACTATTTTCCTTTCTCGGTCGTTCTGCTTAGCGTTGTTCTCTTCTCCTTCATTGTTCTCTATTCTCTCCTCTGATTTTTGCTTCCGCTCTTTCTCATTAATGCTGAAAAATTGACATGGTCTATATATATCGTTTTTAAAATTTGCATATATTTTTTTAAAAACACGTGCATGATTGTTATTGTTATTCATTTCAATTTTGTTGTATGATTAATGTTCTCAATAAACCTATTAGTCAATCATTCAGTTGTAAAAAAAAAGGGATACATCAGAGATGAAAATGGGCAGTTAGAAAAACGGGAAAAGGGAATTCATAAAAAAGGAAAAGGTCATTTGTCAAAGTTAAAGGCACCTTGCAAATTTGATGAAGGGTACATAAAAAAGGGGAAGGGACACTTGCAGCACTATAAAAATGAACACTTTTCTTTCTTAAAAGGAAGCGCTTCTGGTGTACTTGGACAAAACAGGGGGCATTGTTCCCCCTCCCCGTGAGCGCCGACTCTGATGCAGATAAAGAACGCCCCAAAAAGAGAGAAAGAGACAACCGGAGAGCAACATGGGGGGGGGGGGCATTATTAAAAAGCATACAACATTAAACACAGACATAATCAATGGTATAATTAAAAATGGTTTTAAGAGTGGTAGCACAACTGAAAATAACAATTTAATGTAAAAAATATGAAAAGTTAAATGAACCGAAAACAGCAAGGTCAAGTGAATGAGCTCCAGTTATAACGTTCCTAGCACCCCCCCCCCCCCCCCTAAAAAAGAGCCAACAATGAAGTGATTGAAGAAATTAACTTCTCAATTTCATGCAAGGAATAAAGATAATAATCATACTTAAAATCGTACGATCGAAACAACACCGAAAACAAGGATAATATTTGATGAAATATTTGATAGAATGTTGAAGTGCAAATTCAGACAGAGGAAACAAAGTGAATTACGTGTAAAAACGTAATAGGAACACATGGGAGAGAGGAATATAGATTATTTCATTTAGCAACGTTTCGATATTCTTTTGAGCATGGAGTCTAGAAAATGGGATAACAATCATCAACAACACTAAAGACAGAGACCCGGGACGCGCATATTTTTGTTTACACAACTGTTTAGCCACTTCAGTCAAATATACTGGGCAAACGACTAGAGACAGAGTCTAGCGCTACCCTTGGCAGTTTTGTTGGATTGCTGGAGCTGTAAATGTGTACATAATCATACTCGTTATTTGTTTCGGGTTAAATCTATCCTCTCTTCTCTTTCATTATATATTTATGTGTTCTCCTTCAATCTATCCTCTCTCTTTTGTCATGTATTTCTTTCTTTTTTCCTTCAATCTATCCTTTTTCTCCTTCGCTATATATTTCTTTGATTTTCCTTCTATCTATCCCCCAGTTCTCCTTCGACCTTCGTTATGTATTTCTTTTGTTCTCCTTATTATAACCTCTTCTCTTTTGTTTTATGTATTTCCTTGTTTCTTCTTCAATCTATCCTTTTCTCCTTCGTCATGCATCTATTTCTTTGTTTTAATCTGATAGATTCCCTTTTTCCTTCTTAAAGTATTTCCCTGTTTTTCCTTAGTCTAGATCTATGATCCTCTTACAGTCTTAGCCTCTTCAATTATGTATTTCTATGTTCTTCCTTTGACTTATCCTCTTTTCTTTCCTTATGTATTTCCTTGTTTTTCCTTCTCCATATCCTATCCACTGTCGTTGTTGTCCCCTTTTTGTCATCTTCCCTTCCCTAGGTGTACGTGCTTGTACATTATAGTGCGCTGACGACTTAGACTCTTTCACCAGAGCACTTCTTGGATTTTTTTCGCGAAAATGGCTAAACAGTTGTGTAAAAAAAAATATGCGCACCCGGGACAGAGACAAAAGAGTCCCCGTCGGACGAAGACTAGCTGTGATCTGAGCTATGTCTCTCTCTGCATCATAGATAGTGATTTCTCCCAAGCCAGGAAACTCAAAATATAAAACAGTTTGAACAAATTACGAAGCAGAAGGGGATGATTTTACAAGAAAAAACGTTAACAAAGAAAATGGGCCAAAAGTGGAATGAATATTTACAAATTGAATATTAAAAACGATAATTCAGAACAATATTAGCGTCATGGCAGTTGTTATGCAGATGAAAACAAGTAACAGTGAACGTGTACAGTGCACAAAACGTGGAGCGATACTTACATGACGAAGCCACACATTGAGGAGGCCTAATGGAAATGTATCAAGACCTTTCAGATGAGATTCCAGTCTGCCGCCCTCTCTAGTTCCACACCTCTGTAACCTATGTTCAGAAAACAAAGTGATGGAGGTTAGGTGCGTTAGGTGTTAGACTAACGAAAAAGAAGCAGAGAGAGAGAGAGAGAGCGATATAGGGGGGGGGGGGGTTGGCATATATATATAGAAGAGATAGGAATATATATAGTAGAATGACATACAAAAAACAGAGAAGTTAAGAAAGAGAAACAGACAGAGAATGCGTAAAACATATAATACTCTTAGTATGTTCATGTTCGGATTTTTTAAATCCCATTTACTGACTGTTTATTTCAGTAATACAAAAAACAAAAACGAGTATTTCAGCTTTCCTGCTTTAATTTTCGTTTTGAAAGGAAGTATATTATATTTAATAAGCTGGTCAAATATCTAATCTTCTTTCGTGTTTATATTCTGGTTTATAACATTTAAAAACAAAAACATAAACAAATAATCCATGATATGATATGTGATTTAAATGATATGTATTTAAACTTTGTTCAATTTCCTTTCAGCGTATTTGTACAGGGTTTTCCAGGAAACAGTCTTAATACTGAAAGAGTAACCCTAAATAAAAAGAATTAAAACAAAAATCATCCCATTATTAATCCGATATGTTCAAGCATTGATTTGCTTGCAAGTCGTAAATGAAGGCTAACAGTGTTCTTATGTATCGGCGAATCTACAATTTTATACAAAATTAAAGGCAAGTTTTGTGCCATTAATTATCTATTTGTTTATAAATGTGTGCCCTTATTCCATTCATACTCTCTCTCTCTCTCTCTCTCTCTCTCTCATTAACACACAACCACACTGCTATCATAACTCTTTGCTTTCTGTCCCCTTCAAAGTGATTGTTTTGTTCTTCCACGTCCCCCTCCCCCAATAACAAAACAGTTATAATGATTAAAATAATAATAAATAAATAAAGTTTTAAAAAATACAAATAATAACCACTGGCTTCTAACAAAAGCATTGCTAGGTTATCTGATCACTCAAACAAACACACCATCATTGAATCATATATCATTGCCCTTTATCATCATTTCATAATTACTAATTATGCGTTAGCGCACAATCTCATCCATTCAATTTTTGCATAACTCATTTTTTCTTATTAAATGACAAACTATACATTGCTCAAACACAAAAAACATTTACACAATTTTGTCAAGCTTTAAAGTCTTATAGCTATTCTTATGCTTTAATGCATGAAAATCTACATTTTATGACTGATGAGCAATAACAATTTATTTCAAGGGATAAAATAAAAACGTGTTCAATGACACAGATGAAAGTACTGCTCTTTAAGTGACAACCGGTTGTTAAAACTATTGCAGCTAATATCTGCCACTGTGTAGTCGAGATACATTGGTGGAGATTAAAAGAGTAACATTTGTGGTAAGGATTGCTGTAACTAGTAATATGGTTGTTAATCTAAGGTTAATACACTTTGTCATGTAAGGTAATGCAGTTGATGAAAATGTGTTTTTCTTGATACAACAGTTTGTCTATATGAAGTTAATAATCTTTTGTTTTATCAGCTTTGAAAATTTGTTAAGGACAACATGAATCCGAGTTGATATATTATGTCCTGCCGGACAAATTTGTTTTTACTGCTATTACAATGTTTAGTTATTTCTTTTGTATTTGTTATTGTGTAATTGCTAAGAATATCCAATTCAGGTATCAACAGGTAATTATCGACACATATTTATGCCAACATAAACTCTACTAAGATTTCCAAAAAGGCCCTCAAATTGGTCCACTGTTGCTCAGATGAATTGCTACTTTAAAATTTCCAATTTGATATTTTAAGATTTATCTATGTAATGTAAGTTTAGAAACAACAGCCTCCATGACAGAATCATAACTTTTTAGATAAGCAACAACACTTAGCAAGATATTTCTCGAAAGTGCATGCTTAAGTTGCAGAGCTATTAAACTGAATATGGATTATTACTTTAGTTTTATCTTTCAACTGTAATTACTTCAACTTATCAAACCAATATACTCCATACTCGATGGCAACTTTTAGTACACAGACTGGAGCACTTTTAATATCTTCAGATGAATTTATTTGAAAATCTGTTTCACTGGTAGTCGTGGTTAAATGAGAAAGCGACTAGTCCATCATCTAATAGCATTGTGGTCCCTCTTGCTTAGAGCTGGAAAAGGGAGCTTGAATCTGTAGGCTGGCTGATGTTTCATATGAAGCATAATGTTGCAGGGGATTCAAGCTCTGCAGTCTAGAATTTGAAATTGAAAGTTATGTAATACAAATATTAATAAATACTAGTGTAATTTTTCAATCTATCTACAAACTTTGTATTTATAATCATGTCAATTTCTTTGATTGGAAAATACGTCAAGTAGAAGGATAATAAATATTATTTTTAAAATATTGATACGAAAGCTGTTTTAGTTAGAAAAGATAATAAATAATTTATTTTTAGGCTTTGGAAACAAAATTTAAAAAATCATAATCATTTTGTGTATGTTTTATACAATAGTTTGGGTAAAATCGTAATTAGACCTCTAACAAAGATTATGAGAACTGTACTTATTTTTTTTCTTCTTTCTTATTAATTGATTTAGGGGGCGTGGCAAAACATAATAAGATGAATTATGTAAACTGATACCGCTTACCTTTTCAACTTGAAGAGATGGACAAGACCTTAGGTATGAAAATCCAGATGCCATGAGTTTGCAGTTCATGTAGATGCCACAGATCTTTACTTTGCAACCTAAGATTTAAAACAGAGATATACATATACCATAAACAGAGCAAATATATTTCACAGAAAATATATTTCACAGAAAAATAGTTTTCACTTTAATGTGTTCAACTGAACAAAAGTACATTTTCATCACTGATCAATTGTAATTTAAATGTATTTGAGTCAAACCACTATGTCACGTAACTAACCACATTTAAAGTTTTTGAAAATGTGATATTTGTATCAATTGGACTATGAAACGTGGAACCTTTTTTTTTATAATACACATTTTGGATTCATCTTGATTTTGATTTTGATCCGAAACATTTCTTTAAAATATTGATCTTGAATGTGTTAATCTTAAACTTTAGCTTTCATTTTTAATCTGACTCTACAGCAGTCTAATCTTAATCTTAGATAATCTGATCTTGAACCAAACCCCATTGTACAGAGAATTGATAAAAAAATACCCTCTAGTGAATAGAAGAGAAAGAGACACCTAAACTGGTACATAACAAACAGTTTGAAACTTACATCATGCATAGAGTTTGTTCAACCACATCTTTATACTTTAACTGCTGCCCTATGCTATGTACACTATTGATCAAAAGTCTGGCTAGTAATTTATCTTTGTGTTTTACCTGTCATGGTTGGCTTCCTCTTAAATTAAGAACACATACTTTTCAGTTTGTTATTGTAAAATCCGAAATCCGGTATCTTAAAGGTAAAGACCAGTATAGGAAACGCACCAATTTCAAAAAATGTAATGGAAGCTCTTATTACATAATACATGATAATAACAATTTTGCCGGGAAACCGCATACTAATTGATATATTTGGTAAATTAGTTTATCTATTGGACTGTGAGAGATAAACGCACGTGTCGCGCACCTGTGCGTAGTCCCATATACATCTTTATGTCTACAGTGCTTGTAACTTTACGAAGACTGGGTCAAATGTCTTATCATTTTGATGATTCCAGAACCTTGCAGTACACACTAATGCTAGATGATTAACCTTTACTGATCGATTCCACAACGTTTCTTTCACCATGCAATCGCATGACCATAACCGGTCTTTATCTTTAACTCTTTATCATAAATGAATATCAGGACTATAAACTCAACAACAAGTTAGTAATTCATATTTATGTAGGTCTAGAAGAAGAAGAAGAAAAACAAACCTCACCGTTTTAATTTCGGGGTTCAAACTCTGCAAACAAAATTACATCAAAAGGCCACTTAGCACGGTAGAATATGCAGAACCTTGAACTAGATTACATTATGCAGATCCAAACCCTTTCAGCGGGTCCGAGGTAGGATGAGAAGTTAGTCCAAGACGTTGAAGACACGGTGAGAAAAGTCTTAGACTAGAGGTCTATTTCTTGGATATGACTCAAATGTCCAGGTCCACTCCATCTCTGACTCTGAAAGAAAAACAAAATAGGAGAGCTTGATACATGAGCCTATTAGTACTAGACCTACATAACATTCTACATCTAGTCTAAAATCTAACTTTTTAATGTCAGATGTAGACTAGATTTAACTCCTGTCAATTTAGATGTCACAAAAATACAAGTTGTCAAGATCAAGGACTAAGGGACTAGCTCTAACTGTTAGTCCTGCACAATGGTTGCAGTGTGAAGACTAGGTCTACATCTACCCTAGATCTAGTATCATGAAGAATAAATCTACACCAAAATCGTATTCAAGATCTAACTTGGTCTTTGGTCTGACACTGTGGAGTCGAATTTTCTTGCATAAAATGTTGAAGTTAAAGCAATGATCCCGTTGATTGTTAATGTTATTAACACAAAACAAGGGCTACCGTACTGCATACCGGCAAAACAAAAAGTAATCTAGCCTGGATCTAGGCCTAGATTCGGAATGTAAGCCTAAATCTACAATTATAAGCACTAGACTTATCGGCAAGACCATACAACACGATGATTTCTAAAGCCGTGGTAGACTTATTTTGTTATCAAAGGCAAGAATAAACTATAGGCCTATCTCTTACATACATGTCCTAACCAAATATTCAACATCGTTACACAAGTAGGCTACATTTAAATATGCATGAATGTAGGCTATATGAATGGGACGGAAATGCATGAACCGGTGCAATTCGAAGAGTTAACTTAAGTTTCGCTCAGTTGGGGAATGCTTTTAGTTGATATTCATTTCAAATATCGTTCGGTTACAAATGAGAGAAATACTTTCCTTCTACCAAAATAACAATTTTTGTGTCAACAGAACGTAATTTACTTACTTTTCGAGGACCTTTCTTGCAGTAGTTTAGCGACGCAATGTTGTGGTTTATTGACCCAAAACCGACTAGCCTTGATTACAGAGCCCTATTACATTTAACCTAATATTTATCAAAATCAATTCTAGTTTAAATTTGAGTCGATGAAACAGCTCACGAGCATCAGTTTTAAGCCAAAAGTGATTTATCCTTAAAAGTTGATTTTTTAAATCGAAATTGATTGTAGTTGATGAAAAACCCTCCAGGGGGAGAAAAAGGGAAAATTAGTCATTTCCCTTCGGGCGCGGATCTACGGGGGGAGGTTTAGGGGGTTTAAATCCCCCTTGGGCGCCCCCCCCCCAAAAAAAAAAAAAAAAAAAAAAAAGGAACAAAGAACGCACGCTGGAGAGAAACCCTTTCAAGTGCAAATATTGTGAGAAGATATTCAACTCATCTGGTAACTTAACCAAACACATGATAACTCTGGATATAACTGTGTATTAAACTGTTACTTGATTTAAAACAAGACGTTATCATGCACTGCTTTTTATGGTCTCCATTGTGTTAATAGATGCCAGGAAAACATCACTTACGGGGTTCAAATAAACACCCCAGAAAAAATCGGCTCGCCGCTTCGCGGCTCGTCATTATTTTGGTTACCCCCCCCCCCTTAGCAAAAAAGCTAGATCCGCCCCTGCCCCTATCTTGGCATTGCTTAAGCTTCACAATTCACAAATTCTGAGTCGAAGAGTAAGAGCTGACGTCGGTAGGAGGGGGGGGGGGGCATACCTGCCACCTCATGGAACTTGATGTTCTTTAGACGATGCATCCAAAAAAAACTATGTAGAATGATTTAAAAAAGGACAGTTTGCCTTTAACGGTTCATTGCAGCTAGAGCACAAAACTTTTTAATATTTTAATTTGATACTAATGATAATTAATAAGATAGCGACAATGATAACATGATGATGATATTAACAGTAGTAAACGCAATAATAATAAATGATGATAATGATGATAGTAGTGGCAAAATAACAATAATAATAGACCTAATAATATTAATAATAATAATAATGACAATTTATGATAATGATAATTAATATTATCAGGATATGATTTTTTTTAAAGTCAAAATGGACTTACATTATTTTACCTTCCGACGGTTTATAATAAAACATGTAACTGTATATCAAAATTGTGGATTTTCAATACAGGTATTCAAATTCAATCTATTCATTGCGATTGTACATTAAAATTCTAAAATAACAATTGACAGCGATAATCAAACAAAACCCATCCTAACTTTCAGTCAAACACTTGGAAGTTACACCCATGTTTTAACCTTTGCATCCCTTCAAGCATTCGTATCATTATGCTTTTTCACGGCAGACTAACTAAACAGGATCATCTAGTAGGATTTTAATCTATTTTATACAAGATTTGAAAAAGAACCTACAACAGCTCTGACATCGTATTCACATGTCTGCAGCTCTCGATGAGGTAAACAAGTTCTTCCTTGTCTGTGCACTTCACTCCATACAGCCAAAACCGCTGCAGGTTCTTGGTTTGTTCTCTGATCAGAAGGCCCAGTCCTCTCATCATCTCTCTCGATACACTCTTCTTCTCTGATGGGAGTGATAACGGTGCTATAAGCTTGATGTCTTTGAGCTGCTGTCCTCCGGTCCGACGAAGACCAGCCGTGATCTGAGGTATGTCTCTCTCTGCATCATCGATAGTGATATCGATATTTCTCAAGCCAGGAAGCGATGAGAGCAGACCTTCATAGCTTTGTGACGTCACACGCACAGCTGATAGCTTTGTGACGGATGGAAGCTCAGGAGGAGATGGAGGGAAATTGAGAGAGGAGTCTGAGATGGTGAGATGGTTCAGTGAGGTGAAGGATCTGAGACAGGACCACAACTTTGTGGTCATCTCAGTAGATAGCTGGCAGTCCTTGATTGTCATATTTTCAATCTATGATGACATACAGAAAGGAAGATTCGTCATTTTTACAACATTTAAACAAAGATTGTTTTTTAGAGTAAAAACTACAAGTAGGAATATATATCTTAAGAGAAATATATATCGATGATTTTGAGAGGAAAGGAGAATAAGAAACAACATCAACAAAACCTGATGTAGAAATCTGTGTTATGTGTATGATACTTTTTTTCTGTTCGGCAGGAGGTGAGAATTGCTTTCTTAAATATTAAGAGAAAAATAAGTCGTATATATGGACATGTACAATTAGAGCATACTTACATTCAATGCACGTGCATCAGAGTTTAGTGACCCCAAAAACCTATATCATTTCAAAGAGAGATCAAGGAGTAAAGGGAAAACACATTAAGTCACTTTAAACATTTGAGAATAACACATTACGACCAAAATGTTTCCAAATAATGACAGATCTAGTCTTATTTCACCTTAAATCTTTTACACCAAATCTTGTACGATACGAATATTATTTCGTAAAAAGTTTTAAATATTTCGATCCGACAAATAAGGATGTGAAAGCCATTTCTTCTTCCTTAAGATTATATCCATTCGCAGAGAGCAGTCCTAAATTTGGAAGTTTGATATCATATTTCATAAGATTGTTTGAGTAATTACCACGGAAATATGAGCTTACATAACTAATTTTTGTTTATACAAATTCTACCAATTTTTCTCGAAGATCAGATGATTAACGTTTTGTTTTTTCTAGAACATTGCAACAAAATATATTTCCTGTTTTGACAGCTTCTTCAAAACTTTGGGAAAATTACCTTACATTACTTTTTCCTTAACTTAACTTTAATATCATCTTTGGTACTCAATGACTCTTTTATCCAAGTTTAATCGACTTCAGGGGGTAATTAATCGACTGGTTTAACACGTGAGCCTAGCAAGTGAAATAAAAGATCTATCGATACCAACTTCAATAACAAACAGTCAGCAAAAGCTTTGGAAAACCAAGTACAGGCGATTACTTGGAAATCAACGAATACCGCTTAGTGAATACATGGCCCTCAACTTTCAGTGCTAGGCATTGTGTACACAAAACATGATAATAATTTTCGAAGTCAACCTAGTGTCGAGGCTTATGATAGTTCGGATAATACTTTATATTTATGATTATATGTTATGGAAATATTAAGTTTCGTTATTATATGTATATATATTATGTAAAAAAAAACATTTTGACATTAAGAAATTATTGTTTGTTTATGTTGTATTATACCTTACATTTATATATTCTTTGTCATTCAGTTATATTTTATACGAAACAAATGCAGAAATAAATTCCTCCCCCCCCCCCCCCCCAAAAAAAAAAAATAAATAAAAAATAAAAAAAAAAATAAATAAATAAATAAAAATAAAAAATAAAATAAAATAAATGAATAAATAAAATAAATAAATAAATAAATAAATGAATAACAAAAATATATATATTATTTGTAAAATAATATTTTGGTTCATCTTCAAAATCCATGAAGGATAAGTCATGCAAACATCCTTCCAAATCTCAAACATATGAAATAAATATATCCACAGCATTATTTCTGTAGACAACAAAATCCAATAATGTAATACTTTCTCCTTTTTTCATAGCACCAGCAAAGAATAGAAATCTCTGAAAAAAGACCCGAGAGAGTTTGTTTGACTCGATGCTTTAACGCGGAATCGATTGAAGGACGGCACCGCCTAACATGCAGACAAGCTTAGCTACTTTTTAACAGCACATCACTGTACATAATTTATCTGCATCAGAAATTCTTGTCTACGTACAGACTGCGCGCATAATATGCACCCACAGTGCGTTGTTTGCTGTTTGAAGAGTACCTTTCTAGACGTGGTTTGTATAAGTTGTGTGTGACTGACAAATGAGTGGATAGAAGAATAGAACAAATAATCAATATTACTTGTTACTCACTGTTCTATAAACAGACTTGCTGACATTAAACGCATTGAAGACTGGACAAGATCGATCACTGCATTCTCGGGTCCGAAAAGTATTCCGGACAACATCGCCTGACATTCTGTGATACGGAGACCAAGTCCTTCCTTCCTTGATACATTCTCCTCTGATTGGAGAGAAGAAAGGTCGATGTGTGTGAGATATTGTCCTGTCAGATGTCGACGTAGACTAGTCTGGATCTGAGATATGTCTTCTATCCTTGCATCTCCGATAGTGATATCGATCTCTTCCAAGCCAGGAAGCAATGAGAGAATATCTTCATAGCTTTGTGACGTCACTCTCTCAGCTAATAGTTTTGTGACTGATCGAAGCTCCGGAGGAGATGGAGGGAAAGAGAGAGACGAGTCTGAGATGAAGAGAGTACGTAGCATCGGAAAGGCTTTGAGGCAGGACCATAGTCTAATCGTCACGTCGGTGGATAAAGTAGACCCCTCAAGCTTTACTGCCCTTACCTGATGTTCATATATATAAATATATATATATATAGAGAGAGAGAGAGAGAGAGAGGGTGAAGAAAGAAAGAGATAGAGACAAATAGTCAGAACATCGAAAATTTGATGAAGATATCTATTTCAGAAGCTGGGACAGTTCTTATATTTCATCTCTATACTACACACACTTCGAGCTGCCTATAAAGATGGCGTTATCAATGAACTAGTACACCCATAGAGAAATACACCCTTTCAATTAAATCGGCCAGATTATGAACTATCTAGTGTCTTGTTTCGGTGGTAATCATTCAAGCAAACGAGACTGCGGCCTGATCTTATCTGATAATATTATTCGCTTAAGTAAAGAAAGCTCCCTTCTCTACTTCTTTACATTCCTAAGTTATAGATCCTTTTCTTCCATGTGAAATCTACAGATCATATGTTTTACATAGGCTACTTGCTATTGTTGACTTAGTCTCTTCAATTTCCCTATATGAATAGGACTTAGTATTATTTTTGCATTATTTTTCTCGTTTCTGGAATGCAGTACCTTGATCAAGGTCGTAATTGGGCAAAGATGGAAAATTATGATAATGAATTATACGTCTTGATCATTTTATCTTGCATTAATTTTTATGAAGATGCCGTCAATTAATAATCATTAATCTATTAAATCAATCTTACCCCTTCGACTTATAGTTATAGCAGAGGGATGAAAATTTAATCAATCTGTATGAAATTATTATTGTTATTTTGTCAAATGAAAACGTGCATACCTGAAGTTTAAGTTGCTTTGGAAGATTTTGCATCCCAACGACGGTGTAGACAGTCGGTGACTTTAGAACAATACTCTCTGCATTCACACATCTTTGAACCAACGAAGACACTTTTTGTTGAGTACCCTTGGTCTCTGATGAACAGTCAAGGAGAATTCGATATCGCTCGCTCTTATCCAAACCGAAGTTGTTAAGGAGCATCTGCATTATTCGTATGCAAAGGCTGTTATCTGTGCCAGCAGCAAATCGGATGAGATTCTCATAGTCACCGATGTTTGCGTTGATGTTTCGCAGCAGTCTGTCTAACTTAGAACTCTTCAGTCGTAACATATATTTCTTCGTTTTAGCAGCAAGGTATTTCCCAGCGGAGTGTTCCTGAACGAGTTTATGATAAAACTCAATGGTCGTGGATGTGGTATTGTGGGATAGTGGGAGCATTGTCGTTGGAATCGTCGTCTTAGATAAAATCCCAAGCTCACATGCCCTATCAAGGATAGCGGGAACTCTTCGGAAATCATGGGGCGTGAAGACTAGTTTTTTAGAGTCGTCGATTAGACCAGCTAGAGCAACCTTACCCAGTTTCCGAATGATTTTGATTAGTTCTCCTTTTGTTATTTTGTCTTTTGATTTTGCTCGGGCATTGGCATGGTGCATCAGAAAAACATTCACGCTGTCTAATAATTCTGTTTGCGTTGTAGTTTCAGTGTTCAAACGCTCTTTGCTCCATAAGTGACAGACCATGAGACAAAATAAAGGCGTTTTAACAAGTTCATTAATCAGTGGTTGGTCATCAAGGTAAACCTTCAGACCATGTCCGCGACAAGGATTCGAAGTCGAAGCAAAGAACTTGTCGATGTACTCTCGTGAGCTCTCTTGCGAGAATCCTTCGACCCACATCTTAGTGTATACCCTTGGAAGCTCCGCTTGATTGAAGAAGTTCTCGAGGTGAGGGCGCGTTGTTATAAGGACTCTACACTCTGGAAATTCCTCCCAGCGGATGACACTGACAATGTTGCTCCCTAAGCTCCGGTTTGAAGAAGAAATACCGGCATACTCATCTAGCCCGTCTAGTATGATGTGACAGATTCCCTGATTCTCTCTAATGAAACTCTCCAGACCCTCTGGTGTCAGATCATCAACATCACTCAAAAGCTGGGATTTGATGGCTTCTCCGATCGATGTAAGCTGCGTTGTGTTTCGGAATTTCACAACAAACAGAAGTGGCAGGTGTTCTAATGCTGACCCCTTTTCTCTGTGAACCCAGTCATAAGCCATCTTGGCGACAGCCGTGGTCTTTCCTCGTCCAGCCGGGGCCGAAATGAGGATTCGAGCTGGCAGTTCTCCGTTTACTTTCGTTGAAAATATTTCAGCAACTGAACCCTGGAGTATTTCCTTCTTTGTCGTATCTTGTCCACGAGCATCCTTCTTCACCATTGTGACAACCGTGTGCATATCTTTGAACTCAGCATAATCACTTTGATCCCACGGTTTCATTTGAATTTTGCACAATTGATGTCGGTACTTTTTCTCCAACTTTTCGCGACATCGCTGAACAGTTAATGATGCCGAGATCTTCTTACTGTATATACCTGTAATGATACAAGCATATATAACACCAAATATATTATTATACTCACATGATATATCACCCCTTCGCAAGGGTTTAGGGGGGGGGGGTTATCGTTGAAAGACAATGTACATGAATTCCGACGATTTGCCTCTTTGCCATGAGTAAAGGCTTAGAAACGCACTTATTTGTCAGGAAAACTTTCTCTCCAAATCGATATTGAAAATCTTTGGTATATTTTTTCCTTTTTATTAAAGGACTTTTTCAAGCAAAAATTGAGGGAGAAAGAGGCACGCCGGGTGAAATAATACTAGGCCTACCCTGTCATATATCATCTTGAAATTTAGTGCCAATGCCTAGTCAGTACCCGGAGGCTCACTACCAAAGGAATTAATGGATATTGCCCTAAATGTTACGTTCTTAAAACAATTAATGGGTGAAGGAAGTGATTGTTAGGAACCTAGCACTGATAAACCCACCTGGATCCCTTAGTGTCCCCTTGAGATGTGAATCAGCAAGCATTACTAGCTTAGCGTCAATGAGAGCTTGTTCCAGTCTGAGGTGCTGGTCGCAAGGCTCCACGGTCTGTCTCCAGTCAAACAGCATGTCACGTGTTCCCTTAGAAGTCACCCGTCCTTCTATCCTATTGGTCTCCGTGTATATATTGATGTCTTCGACCCTGAATCCGAGTGTTCGTCCTAAGGCCTCCATCTGCTCACCCGTCTCGATGTCTTCAGCCAGCTTGGAGAGAAGATCATCGGCAATACCTTCATGAGCCGCCATACCTATGGGGAAAATAAACAAAAGAAAAGATTAAGAAACTTATTATAAATATAGCTTTTGTTATAATGGAAAGTAAATAAATGCTGTATACAGTGCGTCCCATAAAAAAAAACGAAACGGAGAATTATCGATGTTCTATCATAACTTAGTCACATTATGATTACTAAATGACACATATTTGGACAGCTTAGATCCTCCTCTTTCATTTTACGCATGAGTGATTACAATGAATTTGATGAGAGAAAACAAAAGTCATTTGGCGGACGGTATCTGAATTTCAAAGAGAAAATCACATTTCTATAAAGTTGAGGTTCTGGCCTCTCATATGACAACTCAATCAGGAAAAATGAGCAAGGAATGACAAAGTTCTGTTTGTTTAAAGTAGTGCTTGCATTTCCATAATTTTATCAAACAAATTCGTTTTCACTGGGTGCCTGCCATAACGACATGCATAATTGACTCCGTTTCGTTGACAATCAGCCATGCATGAAGTCTTTCGCACGGCTGATTGGCAACAAAATGGAGTTAAGTCTTTTGTCAACTCTGTTTGTTGATACGGCAGGTCTGCAGTCATCGCTCTCAGTGTGTGTGCGAGGGAGGAGGCTTCGAAATTTTTGGGTATATGTGTACTAACAGGTACCCTTCCTGTTAGCCGGGGCAGGGGGCCACGATGCCAAATTTCATAGGAATGAATTGCTCCGCATTTAACAATATGAACGTGCTTATTTTTATTGATATAAAGTTCCCCTTCTATTGTTAAATCTTGGTAACTTAATTTATATTTTCTTTTCACGCTCAAACGTTTAATAGCTCCTTTAAACTATCAGTCTACTAATTTTGCTAAAAGAGGCATCTTCCAACCAAACAAATATCATCCTTAAATTCCTTTGCCCTTTTTAAACTTTAAAGAATGTCAAGGCAATCGTTTTTCCTTTTGTTTATTAAAGAACGTACAGGTGTACGCAATGAGAGACTTTTACAAATTGCGTACAAAATCACAATTCATGCCAAGCCAAGTTGTTTTGCCACGCTCTTCTCTTTAAAACAAATTATATATCATAACCTCCGTCACATGTTCTTCTCATTTAAAGTAACTAAATACAGAGTTTACAGAGTTTATCGCCGCGCCGTTTGACCAATATTTCAGATAAACATAGTTTCTTTCGATAAACTGTTTTTATCGCTCGATAAACAATGTTTTTCGGCGATAAACAGTGTTTATCTGAGTTATTGGTCAAATGGCGCGCCATATCCGCCCCTGATCACTGAATCACAAAATGTATAAGCTATAGCGTAGCGATCAAGCAATTTTTCTTCCTTTCTTTTCATATTTAATACTCCATTTCATTTCTCATTTTCCCTGATGTGTCGCGGATTTACCGTCATTAATTATATCGACACCGTCCCGACACAAAGTTATAGGCCAACGCAAAAATATGGAAATTAAATCTTCCTATATTCTATTTTGTATCCCTTTTCCCTTGTCTTTACCTTTTTCTTTTTCTTCTCTTGACCTTTTCTTTTCCATGTTTTCTTGTCCTTATCTTTTTTTTTTTTTTTTTTCTTTTCTTTTCTTTTCCTTTCTGCCTATCTTTTTTTTTCCGCTGTATAAGGGAGCATTTGTCGATTACGAGGCACTCCTGCTACGTCGGCGGAATTTTACAGGGCACTTTTGGGGCGGAGCTGTCAGAGGAGCTGTCGGCGGAGCAATTGTCAGCGGAGCAATGTCGGCGGAGCAAATGCCGGCGGAGCAAATGTCGTCGAAGCAAATGTCGGCGGAGCAATTGACGTCGGAGCAAATGTCGCGGAGCAAATGTCGCGTAGCAATGGTCGCTTTCTGCGTAGCATTTGTCGGCGGAGCAATCGTCGGCGGAGCATGTGTCATTGATTCGTATTCAGACATAGAGAGAGAGAGAGAGAGAGGGAGATTGCCATGTGACGGTACATGCAAATAGTGCCACAATGTCGTGTATCGCCATCAACATATTCAAATAGCATTTAAAAAACGATGAACAAATGATAATAATACATCGCTTTGAAAATATTCTTTTATTTCTCTCTCCCTCTCTCTATCTGCTAAACCCACCGAACAGGGGAATCAACAGAGCGGAATCAAACGTGACAAGAATTATTATGAGTCATATATAGCTGAAAGAGAGAATTGCCACGTCATGGTTGTATTACATGTAGAGAATCAAAATGGGGAACGACTGTTGCTGAAATTAAGAAACCTTGCCAGCTTCTCATGACCTGTTTAATATATTGGCCAGTAACTATTAAGTATAGGGAGCACTATCTGTACAAAAAATGCACTGGAATGTTATTGTGACTTCAAGCCTTTTGGTATCAATTAGCAAAACTTGACTTCAGCTGGAGTTATTGGTTTTCAAAAAAGAGATTGCTCTAAATTCTGCCCCAAATAATCACCATTTGTTTCTTCATTACATAGCTATACGTACTGTTTACTTTATCATCTTTGTTCTTTTCTTCATTTAATTATTTTGGTTAATGTAGTAATTACTGTCTGGAATAAGCTATACAATGTTGTTAATTAGTGGTGTAGGGGGGGGGCAAGTACATGTTTCCAACCTTATTTGAATAGACAATGGAAATCCTGGCACCATACCCTACCCGACCCAAATTATCTAAGCAAATATCCATAAGCTCATGGAATATAAATGGACTTTTTGAAAGACTGAACGGAACAAGACAATGTAAACTGGGTGTTCCTATATTTGGGGAGAAACTTATCACATATATTGTATTTCAAATATAAGTGAGACGCATTTATAGTGAACACATCTCATATAAACGATATGATGTTGGTGTTATTTTACCTGACTGTTAAAAAACATAAATACTTGTTAGTAAGCAACCAGACGGCTGACGGCTTTAGGTCCTCTCCGAGGGACCTGTTAATGATGATTAATGCCTTACCAAAGGGCACTAGCGCATCGACTTGGTTTTGAACCCGGGTCACCGGAAAACGAAACCACTGCTCTACCGACTGAGCCATCGCGCCTCCTCTATATAAATAGTACGTTGATCAAACGAAGCTACATGTAGCAGACTGAGATGAGGATTAGGAGTCCTCGTTAAACAACCTCTTGTAAAGGGAACTACCATTATTGAAAGAACCTGCAGTGCAGGGGCGTAAATCCGTACCGAGGAGTGGGGGAGGGGGGGGGGGGAGGATCGGCGATAGCCATCACATACTAGCACGAGCACTCGCCCACACTAATTTAAGCAAGCGCGCCCGTTCGCGCACGCACAAACACACAACACACAACACACACACACACACACACACACGCACACACACACGCACGCATACACACACAGACGAACAAACAACAAACACACACATATACCCAAACACATGTACATAAATTTATACATGTACATGCATATATACACAGATCAAGGATTTCTTAGGGGGGCAGGGAGTGGCGATGTCCCCCTCCCTCCTACGTAAAGCGTCGAAGTTTTGAAGTTTCATTAAATTATTAGAAAAAGAAAACGATTCGTTGTACCGTTCTCGAAAATAATCCTCATCTGAATTCAGTTTTTTCCCTTACCCACCTCCCGCGCGAAGTGCTGAAGCTTTTCCGTTTCATTAAATCATTAGAGAAAGAAGACGATTTGTTGTACCGATCTTGACTTTTAATCCTCATCTGAATTCAGTTTTCCTTCCCCCCCCCCCTCCACCCTCCCTCGGGAAGCGAGGAAGCTTTTACGTTTCATTAAATAATTAGAGAAAGAAGACGATTCGTTGTACTGTTCTCGACTTTTGATCCTCATCTGAATTCAGTTTTTCCCTTCCCCCAGGAAGCTTTTACTTTTCATTAAATCATTAGAGAAAGAAGACGATTCGTTGTACCGTTCTCGACTCTTAGTTTCTTTAAAAAGGGGGTGCTTTTTTTTCTCTCTCTCTTTGGAATCCTGAGAAATGTTAAAAGGTGAAATGTTGAAAGCTCATTCAGGATTATTTCATTTTTAAAAAGTAAAAACATCGGCCCCTAGTCCCCCTCGATCGACTAGAGCTCACCTGATTTGTTTTGTTTTGTTTTTTTGTGGGGGGGGGGGGTGTGGTACATTTAGCAGTGTTCCGGATTCGGGGGGGGGGGGGTGGGTCTCCAAGGCAGGAAAAGCCAGCGAAAAGCCGGCGAAAGGGGGATTCAGAAATGTTGGCAGTCCTGAGATAGGGTGGGGCGGGGGGGGGGCGTGCTCTCAGAGGGAGGGAACGAGCATACGCGTACCCTAAATAACACTTAATGGGGGGGGGGGTCGGGCATCTATTGTACATGATTGCACTTTTTAAGCGCTCGCGCGCTGGCGCACTTTACGTCTGGGCTATAATAATACCTTTCAAAATAACGAAAAACTATTCTGAAATTTATGAAGTGCTTGTTCGCGCACGTCGCACAACTACTCTTAATAATCGTGACATACTGTATACGTGTAGGCTATACAGTTATACATACATTCAAAAAATAACACATTTCTCATGCATTATGCTGAAATTGAAACAATCCCTTTTTTCTTCTTCTTCTGCTTCCTTTTTTTTCCTCTCTTTTTCTGGAAATCTCAGGGGGGGGGGGATATTTGTACAGGCCATTCCGCCCTCCTTCGAGCCAGGGGGATGCATCCCCACCCCCTCCCGGGGATTTACGCCCCTGCGTCACGGTAACCTACTGTCATCCTGCCTCCCCTAGATCGCGCGGGCGGGAAAAAAAATTCTGCATTGCTAGCGCGAGAGAGCGGAGCATGCATGCGGTGCAATATGCAGAAGACTGCGTGGCCGGCCGGGGCGCGGCCCAAAGCATTTTGTGTATATAGTGGGATTCTTATTATTCTGAAGTTTATAAAGTGCTTGTTCGAGCACGTCGCGCAACTATTCTTAATGATAGTGACATACTGTATACGTGTAGGCTATACAGTTATACATACATAAAAAAGAACTCATTTCTAATGCATTATGCTGAAATTGAAACAATCACAT